CGACCGGTGATGTACTGATATTTGCTCATAGGAGGCCAAGCACACTGACACAATATTTAACGTGGTTCGGCAAAACCGCCTACATCCACGGGAGAAGCCATTACATTATGTAGGGAGAGTACAAGATTTACAATAATAGAGGAGGAGGAATCATCCTCTCTTTGAGCAACTCTCAACCTCACTCTATTTCTCTCCTTTTGTGCTGCAATGGCAGCCCACTCTCTCCTACATTTCTCACCTCTTTGGCTCTACTTCCTCTCTCGTTTTGCTCTCTCATATATGCCTCTATTTATAGGCATTCATGGAAGCTCTTCTTGGTTTGTTGTCAACATTGGTGGCTACCAACTCTAGCTCATTCAACAATGGTGGCCACCAACTCTATCTCATTCAACAATGGTGGCTACCAATAGTCAATGGTAAATGGTTGGTGCCTTACATGAAATGGCAACCAACCTAACAGCAACTATCTCAAAAGCATATGGGCGATGAAACTTTATTTGTGAGCTCCTATCTAAACGATCATTATCAATAAGTAAAGAGAGTGATACTACTGGGTTTTCGGTTTGAAGAATCAATGGTTTGGCTTTGGCCAAATGCTCCTTGATGAAGTAAGGGAGAGTAATGAGGGAGTTCCATGATTGTGATACACACCTGAATCTCAAAATTGACTTGATGGGTGATTTCAGTAGTATCTTTGTCACCACATGTTCTGGGATACGATCCCTTTTCACTTCTTCTGCCACCTTTCTGTCCACCAGGAATAGTTTCTTTTTGGGTGGCTTCTTTTGCGATAAAAAAGGCTGAGAGAGAGAGAGAGAGGGGTGAATTGATTGGGAAAGGGCGCTCGCTTTCGCTGACTGTTCGAGGCGTTCGAGGAGGGGAAATATGAGAGAAATAGTAGAGCAGAGTAACGGCTTAGAGATGAAGATACTCTTCAGTGGTATCTTGGTTTTATAGTCTACTGATGATTGGTAGTTAGACGTTATGCAATAGCTTTTAAAGGAAATAGTTCTGGTTAGTTAACCTTCAGCATTATTTATAACAAACCTCGTCCATCACGCTCTATCCTCCACTTTCCTCGTATACATGACCTAGCGTGGTTTATTTACCTTAAAAGCTTTAGTTTCAGAAAGATACAGCTTCGGATTCTTATAATCAGATCCATCCCCTAATCTCATGATTCAAGGTGATTGGGCTAATCTCAACAGCTGCTCTAGGTTTTGATCACATAGCGAATCCTGAGACGAAATTTGTAGCAGAAACAATACTGCAACACTGGCCTGTGAAACGGACTTTTTTACACATGTTTGGAAGAGAAATGAAGGAAAAAGATCGAAAACATTTGGTTTTCCAGACGCAATGGCTTGTAACAACCCCCAAAGGGTCTAAACGTACAAATCTTAATCCCAAACCCTAACATTACTCTCCGGCTTCAAATTGCTCGACTCGATCTCTCCGCCAGGATAAACCACACCTCCATTGCTGTAAACATCGTCACACAGATAGATAACTTCTCCAAGGCTTGTCTTCTTTACATGGACAGCTTCTCCAAGGACTGTCTTCTCTACGCAGGCCCCTTGCCCCACTGTGGAGCTCCACCCGATGATACTGCTAGATATGCAAGCATGCTCCTTGATGGTAACTCCACTCATCACAGAGCAACGACAAAGTCTAACTCCTGACTCGACAACACATCCTGGTCCTATGGCAACATCAGGTCCTATCAAACAACCCTCTCCAATCTCCGCAGTCTCATCCACCAAAACATTTCCCACGATATGGGGACCAGTGGCCAACTGAGATGGGGATTTTTTTCTAAGAGAATCTAGATAGAGTATTAGGCCTGTGATATAGTCCCTTGGCTGACCAATGTCCATCCAAAATCCTGGAAGCGCCATTGCATAGAGCTTGCTCTCTGCCGCTATTTTCGGGAAGACCTCTTTCTCAATTGAGGTGGGCCTCAGTTCAATTCTATCAACAACAGATGGGTTCAACAGATAAATTCCAGCATTGATTTTGTTACCAACAAATGCTTTTGGTTTTTCCACAAATCTCTCAACTTTTCCCGTGGATTCTTCCATAATCACAACACCGTACTTTGATGGCTCATCCACCTACAGCGTAATAGAGAGAAACGGTTTTCGACATTTTTAAGGTTAGTTTAGTTTCACGTCTCGAAGAAAAACTGACGTAGATAAATTGATAACCGGTAGGAGTTACCTTGGTCACCATTATGGAAGCCTCTCCACCATGGGCTCTGTGGAATTCTATCATCAGCTTGAGTGGGTATTCGCAGATGACATCACTATTGAGAACAAAAAACGGTTCGCCAGAATCATCGGTTAGCTTGTCCCTTGCTAGTGCCAAAGGACCAGCAGTGCCGAGCGGCTCGGTCTCTTGTGAGCAAGTGATCTTAATATCAAGCTTCGTGTCAAAATCCTTCAAGAAGTTCATCATCTCCTGCAGGGCAGAGCACAGTTTGTTAAAAGTTGATAGTGGTCAAAAGTAGGCTGCCAGTTCGTACCTCGTGCTTGTAGTTGATAGCCAAAACAACTTCAGTCACTCCAATAGCCTTGAGAGCCTCTATCTGCAAACAATTCAAAGAATCAATAAGTGGATATGAGATTGACAGGGCATGGAATTGTGACGGCCCATTATACACGGACAAGTGTTTAAATTCTTTTAGCACCTGGGTTTTAAAACAAGTTGTTTCTTAATCGTGGAAATCGACAGAGGAAGCAGTCAACCATAAAGACAGCATCCAAAACGAGTCCAATTAAGTTATATCAACAAAGGCAATGCTCAAGATTTTATACCTGATGCAGGATCATAGGTTTGTTGGCAAATTCAACAAGTGGTTTAGGGACACTGAGAGTCAACGGCCTCAACCGTGTTCCAAACCCTCCAACAAGGATCAGTGCCTTCATTCTGATAAGCTCCCTGCTTTCCCTGCAAATTACATGTTCAGAAACCAGGCGGCAAGCAGTCTAACCAAGAGTAACAGAATACAATTTATGACTGTTTCGTTCTCTAACTAGTGTTATGGCGAAACTGTCAAATGCACTCCAACAAACAAAGCTACCCAAGAAAATCCTTTTTGTCATTTTGCCTGCTTTTTTTATGTGATGTGATGAGTAGCAAGAGTCACCATATTCAGTAGTTTATGAATTAGAACCAGGTGAGTACTTGGGGCATTAAACCCCAGAAATCATACTCGAAAGAGTCAATCTCGACCGGCTGCGAAATAGATTTGCTACAGCATTCAGCTAAACAAGATGTTAACGTTCTATCACTCGAAAATTTAAAAAACTTGTTTCGCCATTCAACTCATCCGCAAGCCTGGCCTTTACCGAGTCGGATGCATCATTGGATAAAAAAGTGGAGAGCATTCCATCATTTAAACCATGAAGAACAACAGAAATGTCAAAGGGGGTCCCTCATAAAGACAAAATCTTTCAACATGATTCGTCTTTCTTGTTTTAAGTGGATTTTACATTGAGACTGATCGTACACGTTAAATAGGACTAAATCTCACTTAAACAACAAATCTTAATATAATATAAACTGAAGTAGTACATATACACAAGATCTAACATAAAAACAAAAAGGATAACTCTGAATTAATAAATTAAACAGTCGTAAAAATGGCTTTAAAAATTCTTTCAAAGATCAAACAAAACCACAAAAATCAGAATAACAAGTAAGCCAAAAACAAAAAAAGGAATCAAATTCTTGTCAAAACATTATCCACGTTGCTACATTTCAGAAAACAGCACCAGACCCAGACAACAACACCATAAAGCCTAAAAAACACTGAGACAAAAACAGTGAAACGAGTACCTTCAGCCTTACAAGATCCCGAACCCGAATCACAAGAGCAGGTTTCCGACAGAGCGAGTCAGAGGTGTCTAAGGATATAATACAAAAGGCAGAGCTTGGTTTGATGGGGTACGTGAATTGCATGGAAGAGGCAGAGGAAGCTCAAACGGAAGGAGGAGGAGGAGCAACAAAGATTATATTATTTACTTAGAGAAGTAGAAGAGGAAACTATCAAAACCCCACCGGCCTTTGCCCTCCCTCTCACCTTTGCCTCTTCACTTGGTATTTATAGACTGCTAGAATTGCACTTGCTTCAGGACTCCACTCCCACCTAAAGACAAGATTTGTCTTTCTTCTTCTTCTTCTTCTTTTTATTTTCAAACTGCCCCTCATTTACACTACATTTTTAAGGATTATATTTGGTCCCTGTAATATTGACCTTTTCTAGTATTGAATCTCTGCTGCACTTTTTTTTTTTATCTGGTCCATCTCCTCATAAAAATGTTTCCTGACATCTAATAGATAAGCTTCCATTTTTTCCTGACATGCCAGAATTAAAAGAAAATTGAACAGATGGATCATGTTAAAGTTTATTAAAGTAAAGGGACCAAATGAGATTAAAAAAATAGAAGGCACGTTGAACAAAACTGCTGTCCGAGCTTCTATTTGGCACTTGGGCTTTGGCCCGTCAATGGAATAAATGTAAATCAATGTCCTTTTTTGAGAGGCTCGTTTGGTAAACCGGTGGATCATACTAAAAGCTTCCATTTTATGTTTTTAGTGGCCCGCAGTTAGTGGACGAAGATATTTGTTCAGTAATTAGATCTCATTTTTTAAAAACAAAATGAGGGCAAACTAAAATTTAAATTAAAGGATGAAATTAAAAAAAATAAATTATTAAATGAATAAAATAAAAAAAATAAAAAAATCAAGATTATGGATTTAAGGATGAAATTGAAAATAAATTAGAATTTGATAAAATAGCTAAAAGTCAAAATTAAAAATCAAAACATTAAAGGTAAAACCTTAAATATCATCGAATATTGAATTGAAGGGAAAAATTGAAAAAAAAAACCAAATTCACAAAAGAATCTAAAATAAAAATAAAAATAAAATTGAAAAGATATTAAAATTTGATAAAAAAAAAAGGCAAAAATCTAAATTAGAAATCAAAACATTGAAAGTCAAACTTGAAACATTATAAAATAAGAGCACATGTTTGATATAAAAATTAAATTTTAAATGATAAAATTAAAAAAAAAATCGATATAATTAAAAGAATAAAGAGAAAATATGATAAACTTAACAAATTACAAGCTTTTTTGAATTTTGGCAAGGGCAATACATTATTCAAGGTGGAAAAGAAAGAAAAGAGGAGGGTAAGAAAAAATATTTTCAAAATTCCATAAATTGTTTAGTAGCTACGTATAAAAAGGGGTAGCAAGACACATCGAATGTAGCCTTAAAATATAGTGTTTGGCTACCAAGAACTACCATATAAGCCATTGAAAGAGTGCATGCATCCATATATTGATGCGTGTGATGTACAAACTAATAATTTTTTTTTAAAAAAACCAAATTTCTAGAAAATAATCAATGCCTCCCTAAAGAAGAAAAAAGTATAAGCTGATAATTCAAAGAATATGGCAGGAAAGCAAGACTTGATACTACCTTTGAAAGGGAAACCAATTCCTTGCTCTGTGGTGTTCTGTCTTAGTAGGTCATTTATTTGTTTTAATGCTGGTGATGACTTCCAAGTCGGAACCCACCTCATCTCTTGGTTTAAGGGAATGGTGGAGACTTCAGGCACGTATCAATTGACAAGATTATGTATTTTCTCCTTAATAATATCCATAAAACTTGATCCGGTTAGGTTATGGACTTTTCAATCTTCTTACTTGTCTTTGAACACGGCTTAATCAATTTACTGTAAATGTAAAGAACAACAAGTATAACATAACTAACAGATCAGCTTTATCATTCCTTTTATAAATCATTTTCCGATGAAAGGATGAGATTATACGAGCATACAATATTAACAAAAAAAACTCTTCAATCTTAGCTATAGATTATCTGAATCTAAAAGCATTTTAGTAACCACATCGTGTCAAGAAGTGAAAACCAAAAACACTCATGCCTTGATTGTGCATATCAAAGACTTAAAAATCTTGTCTACCCCCCATTCAATCAATCTTGTAATAAGAAGTATATTTCATGAAAAATATCATATCACCCTTGAAAGCATGCTATAAATAATAAGGGAAAAACAATAAGTTTATTGTAGAAATTCTCGATAAAATGTGAACTTGTATGTACAATATATCACTGGGTGCTTCTAGCTTTTGTTTTAACAAGCAAGTACGCATTTATAGTGCATTTAGCAAAGGATTCATATGGCTAAGAGGCTTGATTTAACCTATAGTTTTCGATTAAAAGAAAAAAATTATCCACACAAGGTTGTATGCTTGGTTCTATGATGACCCCATTTTTGTAGCTTGAAGGCATTGACTAGTTGTCAATTTCTCTTCACTGGCAATCTTAGACAATAAAAATGCAAGCTTGATACCATAAGATCCTGGCTTGACATCATTAATGTTACCCCAGTTTGAACAGAAATCCTCCCCTGGAGGCTTTGATGCCTCTGAGCTCTTGTTCATACCTTGGTCTAAGCACCATTTTCCAGGCACCAATCCATTGGGTTCACGGTTCAAGACGTTCTCATCTATCATGTTTAGTGCAGCAGCATCTTCTTTAAATGGCCTTGCAAATGCTGCTCCACCATTTAGCATTTTGTCATAAGGTGATTCCCCATCTGTAGTAGTTTCCAGAATATTGTACCTTAAATCATTGCTTACTGTTGTGTTTTGAAACTCAGGAGAGTTGCAGAGGACAGAGTGGAAATACGATTCAAGTGGGGATGCCGTGTTGCTGAAGTACATTAGTAGTTTTCTTGGAAGGTTGTCCCATCCTTGGACACAGTACTCCATGAAAGCTCTTGTAAGAATCAGCCAGGGCGAACCTGGTAGGCAAAACAAGCATTTACAGCAAGTGATGGCTTTAAGATATGCCCTTTGAGCTGGAAAGGAAACTGACCTCCAAATATCTTGAAAGCATCAGGTGTTGTTCGAGTCTCAACAGCATAATAAAGGTGGCTACTCTTTTGAAGATGTAAGCTGGGGTCTACAACAATTTGGTTAATCTTGTGTATCCTGCACCAAATCAATTCAACAGCCATTGCTTCTTTAAATCAATCAGATTACCTTGAATTTCTTCTCTCTATAAAGTAAAGAAATTGCAGGATGAAAAATGGCTCACGCTTACTCGTTTTTCGCAGTGTCATTAGTATAGTTGATGAAGTTGAGATCTCTTGGCAAGGAAGTGAAGGCATGGAGGAGATCTGCCCAGAAATATTTATTATTAACAAATGCCGTGGCCATTGGATCATAAAACTAAATTTCTAGAAAATATTGCAAGTAGCATTTACCATCTTGACTCACTAGAGGATAGTCTGAGACACTTAAATTGATGAACCAGTCCCAATCTGTACTCAGCTTAAGAAGCAACGCAGCAGCATTGAGTATGGCAGCAAGAGCAGACGATCCCATTTCGTTGATAGCATAACCTTTTCCAACAACATTAACATTACCAAATGCTTGAAACAAACTTTCAGATTGAACTGAAACAACCAACTCCGCCCTTTCATAATCTGAGGATTCGGCATCAAGTTGCAATAGATATTGGTTCCTTGGATGGTAAATTGCCTTTAATAGCCTTAACATTCTCTTCCCATCTCCACTGGTACCACATATCCAATAAGCAAGAACAGGAGGATAGTCCCGCCCTTTTGAAGGGACAATCACTGAAAAGTACTGCAAATCCTCACTTGCAGTAGCAGAAGCGTGATCATTAAACCATGACTTCGACAAGGCAATCAGTATCAGCAGACTCATTGCAAAAGCAAGAATCCATGCATGATAGCCTGAATTCCCTGAAGAAATTTTTGATGTCCTCATTTGATCATCAGCTTCTCAATGCCAACTTCACCTTCAAGAATTAACGTTTGAAAAAGAATTGGAAACCGGTGAAGAACAGGATAACAAAAAACGGGAATGTGAGAGAACTCTAGGAGGTGAGAAAATGCAGATACATGGTGAAGACTTGAGAACCTAAGAAGGGTTTGAGGAAGGTGTGAAGTTGTTGAACAAGCACTGCTCAACTTACTAGTAAATAGGAATCAAAAACTTGAACTCAAAGAGAATTAGAAAAGCAAACAAAGGGATTGTGCAAAGGGAGGGTCCTTTCAAAACAAGGAAGCAAGATTGTCCATGATGAAAATAGGGATTTTAGAAAAAGACATGGAGGTGGGTGGTGGTTCTTTTCTGCGAGTTATAATGCTTGCTGCTCTCTTTTCACTTTCTACTGTAGTTTGCTCATTGGTGGGCTTTCAGCTTTCAAGATCAACCCCCCCAAAAACATAAGAAATTAAATTTGAAAGTATTTTTCTGATCTAAAACTATTTATATACCTTACAACCCGCTTATGGAGTGATTATTGACATTATTTTAGAAATTAATTCGGAATAAATATGTGGAGGTAAACAATGTTAGTCTTTGTTGTCTGCGTAGTAGCATCCTTGAGATTATCCATCAGCAGTTGGAGACAAGACAGCCCAGCCAAAGCTTCTACTTTAATGATTTCTGATAATTGAATCATATGTCTTCATCATTAGAGTTTTTAGTAACTTGAGTTTTAAGCCATTTTATTATTTTGTTTTATCATTTTTCTTACAATATATAAACTTTATAGTTGCAGTTATAATTATTAAATCTGACAGATCAATCTGGAATTTAGCTAGCTCATCGTCAAGTTGATGTTAGAGTTGATAGGCAGATTAACTTACCAACTAGACCAAACACAAACACGGCCACTCTTTGGGCCCAAGTAATGTAATAAACAAAATCCCTCTTTTGGATCAGTCCATTTGTTATATCTGATATATTTTTTTATGTACTGGTTTGGGCCTGCCCTTGTCCGTCACCTGCTGCTCTTGGCTCTGAAAATCTTTTTCTTTCATTTTTTACACTAATATTTTTTTTTTTGGGGAAATTAGAGCTGAATTCTTTTTTATTTGAAAATTGAAACACGAAGTCAGTTTGTATTCTTACAACATAATATAATTTAAATGTGTTTTGTATTGATCTTCACTCAATTTTCTCACGTGGTATAACTATGCTAATAAGGATTACGGATAATTCATAATAAATAATTAATAATAATAATAATAAAAAGAAATCTCCCGTCCCTCTCAAGTCTCA